TATGCAGGACCCTGCACAGAGCTGGCAGGTACTGCAAAGGATCTGTGCTGGTTCATTTAAGTTCTAGAGAGGCAGCTGGAGTCCAAACAAAACACCCTGAGGCACCTAAATTACCTAAGAAGCACTATTACATTGCCTTTTTTATTTTAAGCTCTCTTGATTGCATCACCTGTATTGACAAGAACAAGACTCAGTTGTTTAAATTTCAGAAGCTGGTTTTGTTCTGAAACCTGGGCACAGAGACATGGCAGAGGATTTGCAGGAGATCTGCACCAGCCTGGACAGGAAACAAAAGGACAAGCATGAGACTGTGACACCAAAATGACAGTAGACACCTTTGCCCAAGCATCCACATTCTGTTCTAGATCTCCATTAACTGCACTTGTAGAGTTTAGCAATCCAGCTCTCACTTAGACATCTAATGCTATAAATCTCAATTTGCATAAATGGAATCCACCAGATTTTTTTATCATATAAAGTAAAATGTGACAGATTTCATTAACAGAAGCATGACGTTCTGCACCCTCAGAACGTCAGGTGAAGTATTAATTAATTCACCTAAAAAATGTATTTGTGTATCCGTGTCAAGGACAATAGACAGCATTTAGTCTCAATGAGTAGTAACTTCAGTCGATCTTAGGGCAGCAACTAAAACAGCTTGTCAGAAAGATGTCAAAATTGCTTTAAAAATCAGCAGGCACCCAATGATGTCCATATGCATACTTGCAGTTTTATAAAGGCACATGCATAAAAATAAAAATTACAGTGTTAGCATAGAAGAGATTACATCTTTTTTAGAGTGACAGCATAGAGTAAATGACATCTTTTTCAGAAACAACAACTCATCTGTTTTAAGGTCTGACTTTATGTCAAACTAATTTTCTGACTACAGTATTCTCAAAACAGCAGGATGACTATATAGCAAATGATGCTTCCTGGGTTTTGCTGGTTTAATTTTATCAAAATTAGAGCCTTTGAGAAACCCTAGATGGACAACTCTGAAGTCCTCTCCATAAACAAAGACAATGCAGACAGCACTTCTGAGAGCAGTAGCCCGTTTCCCATTCTCTGCAAAACATTATCTCTAAGAAGAAAGGTTCATTTTTGCACTAATCTCCTTGTTTTCTCCATCTACTTTATAGCATTATTTCCCATAAACTATGAAACACATTCTAAAATTATAGTAAAATGAAAGTACAGTACTTTACTCTTCCAGCTATAATAATGACTTTAAAGAGGGGGTTATTTAGAGATTCAAAGCATTGATTATTTAACTTCCTAAGATACAGAAGTATTTGGATTCTTGAAAATTGAATGTCTGGAACTAATGCATTTGATTCACAGACCAAACATTCAAGAAGAATCAGACTGTTAAAAAAAATTGCAAATTATGGTCACTTGTCTGAATGGAAATAGGCTGACATGCTACTAAAAGCACAAGAACTATTTCTTTTTCAATTCATGCCATGTGAGCAAAACACCTAAAAACACAGCAAAAACAAAATACAATCAACCTGAATCATGAAAAGTGATAAAATGTATGTCTAAATTATTGAAACCTGGCAACAGTAATCTTCCATACTCTTTATTTGTAAGATGACTTACAAGTATATTCTCAGTATTACATCTGTTTTTAGTATTGATCAGTATTTTGTTTGGTGATTTATATTTCTGTACAATTTATAGTGGTTTTAGATGCAATTATTGGCGGTAGGCACAAAAATAGATAGGTGCTTAAGTATCCAGTTACACGTATCATTTGTGAAATAGGCAAATAATTATGGGAAAGAATGTACAGGTTAAGCAGTGGAGTAAAGCACACTGACATATAGATATTGACATATGTGCAGGTCATTAGCAGACTGCAGCCCTTCCCTGAGCAATGCACTTCTTATATGCAACTTCATTAATTCCCCCTTGCTACTATATATATGTAACTTGAAGTATAAATATCAAATCATGTGATTTTTATAACATACATGTTTACAACTTCAGTAATACAATATTTTCAAGATGTTGTGAAATCAAATAGAAACCGCCTATTTACAACTTTTCAGTAAAACAAGTCAATGGTCTGTAATTCGGATACTTGCATCTGTCCTCCTGATCCAGCTTAGCATTTCAGCATCAAAAATAAAGAAAAATGTTAATCATCTCATGTAATCCAAGGAAGATGTACAAGGCTATTAGTAAGTCTATTCTAAAAAATATCTACAGATACCCTGGATGTATAGGCAAAGGACTCTTAGCGATTTTCAACAGAAAGACTAAAACTGCACAAATTTTTAAAATACTGGAAAGCTTAATAAATAGCTAGTAAATAAAGATTCATAGAGGAATATATTATACATAAACCTACAGTTTGATTATGAGTAGAAAAGAGCATGATACAAGCTGTAATTCCTGTTACAAAGAATTGTCATCATGTCACTGAAAGTAATATTACAGGCTGCCTAAAAAGTAGCATAATAAAACTTGCTGTAATAACATTTTATTTATGTCCATAAAATTGAAGAATAGTAAATCTCTGGTTATTTTGTTTTTAATACAGAGATGATTTTTAACAAGCTAATTTATAGAAGGTTACACCAATGTCTAGATTTAAATCAAAGGAATTAATGTCCACACTACCACAGTTCACACATAGAAATTCTTGTAACACATTTCAATAGCTGATGAGGCTAAAGGTCAACACTCACAATATCTGTTTGGAATTAAATGAAAGAATATGCCAAAGTTTAAAAGTTTAGTTCGCAACCAGAATGAAGTTCAACAGCTATGCCTCAGTTCTTCAAACTAACAGGGCCTTTTTTTTTTCCTGTCCAAATTACTACTTAGAATAAATACTTCAGTAATCTTGAAAAGCTCCTTCTCTTCACCCCTATTCACTGTTCATTGATATATACTCAAGAATTCTTGCAGACCAGTAAAAAGTTACTTAAAACAAGTAGAAGTAACCAACTCAGGTAGTACATGAAGATAGCTGTGCCTAGTCAAAGATGACTTCTTTTCCTGGCAGGTGAGACAAGCTTAGCTGAAATTCTGGTTGTAGTAAGGTGTTCATCAATCAGAAGCCCTTCCTGCTCATTTTTTCCTGAAGTAAACTACTACAGTTTTTATAGTAAAGGTACTCTAGCCACTTGCTTCAGAAACACATAATTTCTTTCTCTTGCAAGATCTAGATCAAGATGTATTGATGTTTTTCAGATTTTGCATTGCTCCATGAGAGGCCACAGAAAAAAGCCGCCACTTCTTGGGCAAGAGTGGGCACTGACTCCTGGGGCAGCTAGAAACTTAATCACTTGGTACACTGACACACTGGGGACAAACTGACCATTTTCTTGAGGAGCTCCCGTATCACTGAGGATCTGATTACTCAGCCTAGCATAAGAAGCAGTGTAATTACTTGCTTTTCCTTATACCCTTGCTACAGTGGGCTGGACAAGTTGTTATTTAAACCTAACAGGCTTTCCTGCAGCTAGGAAAAAAGAAAGAAAAAGCACAAAAAGCAGCATACATCCCCTCATTTTCTTTCCAATCTCAATATGCCTTTCTCTGATATTTATTGCCTCTCTGGCACTTCACATACACAGTGTTATATATTAATTTAATGAGTCATGTAATGCTTCCTTAAGACTGGAACATATCCAGAGGTGGGGAAGGTGGCAGTGGGGATAGTGAAGTCAGATTTTTCAATTACACTTCAGAGAGAAGCTTTCATTCAGCTCCCATTGTTTTCACTTGAGAAGAAATCCTACAGGTACAGAAAAGGCTGTCAAATACATCAGGTGTCTCTGCAGTTGCCTGAATCTGCATGAAGTCTAAGACAAACTCTTGTAAGTAAGAACTATCTCATTTTTTTCCCCTCCTGACTGAGTAGAAAGGCTGGCACTGGTGACACTTTTAACTGCAAACGGTAACTGTATCTCTGTCAAAAACGTTTTTTAGAAGATGAGAAGTAGAGCAAAAGTTTCTCTCTCAGAATTTCAAGCAGAGGGGGTGAAAGTAGTGGCAGGATTAATGAAAATATAGGGAACATGTATCAAGCCAATATATGCCAGCATGTAACACTGCAACAGTGCATTGAAGGAGAGGTAGTGCAGTACTAGTGTCATATGTACAACAAGAGAGCTCAGCTTCCAAACATATACATATTATTTTTAATGTCATAAATGTAACTACAGCATTGCAGAGGGACTAGTCTTTCTACATGAGGTTTGCAAAAGGAAGAATACAAGGAAAAAAACGGAGACAGAGAGAATGAGTAACTTGCTGAGGAACATGAAAAATCCACCTCAGATTTAGGATTAGGACAAGAAACAGAAATTGTAGTTTCTCACATTGAATCAAGGTATACAGACGAGAGGATCGAAACGCAGAAAAGCACTAAACACCTCCCTGTCCACCGGTGAACAAACAGCCCCGGACAGCATCACTTCCCAAGACAAGACTAGACTACTATTCCTCCCAAATCCAATCACAACCGCGCCGGCTCTGGGTGCTCAACAAGCCTTAAAGCACTCGCACATGTCAGAGTTTACCCACAGACAAGCTGGGCTGTTCGGTTTTTTTGCCCTGAACCGCGCAAGAAGCAGGGAGATGCCGATAGCCGCGGCCCTCCATCACCGCCCCGGCAAGCCCGCCGCCGCCGGCCCGCATCCCGCCGGCTGCGAGGCCGCGGCAGGTGCCGGCGGCCCGGCCGAGCCCAGCGAGCTCCGGCCGCCCGGGGGTACAGGAGGAGGAGAAGGCGGGTCCGTGCAATGCTCGGTACATTGGCGGAGACGGCCGCCGGCAGTGAGAGGGGGAAAAGGTGGGAAGGAGAAAAGCGCGTCTCCAGGGAAATAAAGTTTTCAAACGAAGAGGGCAGCGCTCGGAGCGCCGCGCAGCCCCGCCGCCGCCCGCCAAGACAGCAGCGACTCCGTGAGAAACGAGGGACGGGAAACGGGCGGCCGCGACCCGGGCGACAGCCCCGGCGCCGGCCGGGCTCGCCCGCTACTCACCATGTTGACTTCGGAAACCATGTCTATGCTGGCGATGTCGATGTTCATCCCCACACAGACGGGCGGACCTGCAAGCAGACCAGACCTTTAGCCGGCGGCGAGCGGTGCCGCGGCAGCGCGGCCGGTGGCCGGACCCGCCGTGCGGGAGCGGCGGCAGCACCGGGGACAGCTGCGGGGGAGGGGGAGATCGCCGGGCGGCGAGCCCGGGCAGGGCGACTCACCTCCGAAATCCGGCCGGAGGCGGATGTCGTAGCCCTTCAACAATTTATCCACAGTTTCTTTCACGAAGGACATGTTGCCGGGATCGTTCACACTGTGGGGAGAAAGAGACGGGGGTGTCGGGCGGGAGAGGCAGAAGCCGGGGTGCGGGGGGCCAGGGGCGACGGCGGGAGCGGGGCGGGAGGGGGAGGGCGCGGGGAGCGCATCAGCTTGTTCCCCTGGAGAAACGCATCCCGCGCCGCCGCCGCCGGGGCACGCTGGCTCCTACCTCTGGGCGCAGCAGACCACGGCCACCAGGACGGGAGCAGAGAAGATCCCGAAGATCCTGCCTCTCCCAAAGCCCCACATCCCTCCGCTCCACGCTCCCTTCGCGCAGCAGCAGCAGCAGCCGCCGCCGCGATCCGGCTGCCCCGGCTGCTGCTGAGGAAGAGGCGGAGGAGACAGTCCCCGTTCTCCCCCCACCTCGCCCTCCCCCCCAAAAAAACGCGCACCCGGCTGCGCTCGCCCCGCGGCCGGACGCCGCCGAGCCCCGGAGGAAGCTGCCCTCCGCCGGAGCCCGGCCAGCCGCCTCCCCGCCGCCCGCCGCCCGCCCTGCCGCCTTCCCGCCAGCCGGGAGGGGAGGGGACGGAGGGAGGGCGCCGCCGTCCCTCCGGACGGAGAGCCCGAGGTGGGGCGGCGGGGGAGCGGAGCTGGCGGGGCCGGGACCGGCAGCGAGGGGCGGTGGCTCCCCGGGCACCGCCTCGGGGCACGCCCGACCTCTGCACGGCACCGGCCCTGCGGTGCCCGCCCGGAGTCGGCGATGGTCACCGACAGCCCCCGCGGGGGCTCCCCGCAGCCGGCTCCATCTCCCCGGGGTAGGAGCGGGACTGCGGGGCCAGGGCAGCCCGCAGGGTCCCCCCTGGAGCCGGCTGAGCAGGGGCTGCCCGACGCCGTGCCTCTGTCCGCCCCTGCCCCTCGGCCTGCCGCTCTGCTTTGGGGGACTGTGCCCACCTGCCCTGTGCCGCATCCTGGGAGCGATGCCCGGGGTGAGCCGCTGGGGCGGGAAAAGGAGCTGGCCTGGGAGCCCTGCCTTGACTTGCAAGGGCCTGAGGCTGTCTCTGCCCGGCCAGGGATGTGGTAGAGGGATTGTACAGGTGCCGGGCCTGAGGCTCCCTTTAGCCGTGTCTGCGAGGGTGCCAACTGCACTGACCGAGACGGACATGCTTTGCCAGGTAGAAGCTCTGTGTAGCTGGGTTCAAAATGTGTGTAGCCAGGCTTGTCATACAGGACAGTAATGAAGGGAAATGGCACTGGCACGAGAGATGTAGGGTGAGAGTTGTCACCTGTGAGCTTCTGGATGCTCTCAACTTTGTATAAAACATTGGTTGGGTGAACACAGCACAGTTGTTATTATTTTTAATCTTCTTCCATGCTAATTAGTCCTTTCATCAGGACTTACTGGCATGGAAACAGAAGAACGTTGACTTAGGTATATTGGCTTTGGTTGCAGAGGCAGCTCTTCACCACCGGAGCTCTTCACCATGCTCTATAAAAGTACAGACATGCCCTTGGCCAGCTTCTGATTCTGGTTACATTGCAGTCAATGGCCACTGGTCCATGAAAGAGCACATTTCAGTAGCCAAGGGAGAAAAGCTTTGTCTTTCTTTTGCACTTTTTCTCTTAACACCTCTTTTTTCCTTCCACACATTCTCTTCCCTTATAGAAACTGCTGTGAAAAGGATGGACATTGAGTAATGCCATGCTGTTAGGTACAGGTGAGAAAACATGGACGGCTTTTCCTCTCTCCTCAACAAATCATTGAAAAGAAAGACAAGTGCAATCCATTGTCCTGACCTTGTTGCTGTTACAGTTAATAATAGAGATCCAAATAAAAGAAGGAACAGGCTCAGTTTTCAAAACAATATTAAGCTCTATAGGCAATGCAGAAAAATGTAAGAGAAACTGAGTGTTGCCAAATCTTGTGATTTCATGTTAATATTTGGATTTTTAATAGTGCCATAATTACTATGATTATACAGTAAGTGAAAATTTTAGCATTTATTTAAAAACCTTATTAGGCTTATGATGAAAGCTTGAGAAGCTTTCTTGTGGCATGAAGCATACATGACTCAAGGGCTCAAAAATGAAAAGTCAAATAATAAGTAACTATGTAAGTAATTTTAAGGCCCTGGTGGGTTTTTTTAATGCTATAGATGGGCGGTATTGAAGACCAGTTCTTTCAAAGACTTCAGAGGAAGTGAATTTATGGAAGGGTATTAAATCAATTCTGTCCCCCTAAATTATGAAAGAAAATATTAACATCAAAGAAAATATTTCTTATGAAGAGTTTAACGTGGTTTAAAAGCACATTTAAACACTAATAACTTTTCTTAAATAGATTGTCAGTTTTATAACAGAAATAAAAAAAGTTAGAGAGCACTATTTCTGATTAATGTGCTATCCTGGTACTTTGGAAACACATCTGAGGTAGGAATGAATCAATGGTGCTGTAGAGTCTGTCATATTTTATCACATTTCATTTAAGTATTTGTCTTCTTGATCTTACAGAGCAACCATTTACTTGGGAACAGCATAAAGATAATCTAGGCTGGAGCTGATGGAACATGAAAGTATTTAGTGGGTTATGGAGCATTTGTTCCTTGGGACTCTGGGTTCAAATAGGCTTAGCAGTAACAGAAAGATGTTAAAAACTATAAACAATCAATGAATTTCATGAAAGGTAAAAATCATCTTGACTTCTCTGTGACATGGCACTTGCAGTGAAAGTAGCACTGTGGGTTTTGTCTGCAGGCTTATGAATAGGCTCATGAATAAGCTTCTGTGGCAATGGGCTGGAGGTGAGACCCAGCAAAGACCTGCACCAGGCACAGTATTAAAGGAAATTGTGGAAGCCCAGACTTTTGGGAAGCTATTTTATGTGGCCAATAAGGAAAAAATGGCACAGAAATAGACTCCTTGTCCTGCTCCAGAATTCAACATCCTGACTTTGCTTCTGGAATTAGGGTCCCAAACATCTCCTTTCAAAAGGCAAGCAGGTTATTTCAAGTCATGTCTCGAAGGAGTTGGGGTACTTTTATTTGCTAAAGCAAAACAAAGCATCCAGTCACAACCTGTAGATTATCCATCCAAGAAAATCCCAAGGATGTATCTCCTGAGATAAGCCCAGACCCCAGGATATCAGGGTAAATTTTTGTTTTTTGAAACATGCCGCTTTTCAGCAAATAGTTAAGTAGGGGAGAGGGAAGGAGTTAACATTACTCTGTGGCCTAGCGGTTTGGCTGTTGCCTGGGAAGTACTGTTATTTCATAAATAATCCAGCAATTCATGAATTAATTACTGGGTAAAATAAATCAATGTTCAGTGGTATAAGGAACAGAACCCAATTAACTCCTGCTTTTAGGTGCCTTCATCATTGTTCATTCTTTCTCCTTGCTCTATTTTCAGTGTACACTCTTACTGTCCCAGTAAAACTATCCCTGTAAAATATAAGACTTGAACATTGTAGTTCAGGGACTAAAATTCATCACATTTTCTACTACTTTGGTGAATGTTCCAGCCTCTGAGCCACTGGACAGGTAAGATCTATGCTCCTGATCAAATTTTTTTCAATGAGGTAAGCACAGCGTGTGTTCTTTACTTCCTCAGCATTGCCAATATTGTAAAGGCCACTTCAACAATGGATAAGTCTAAACTGCAAAGGTGAGCATCACGTCTGAAGCAGCAAAAGGACTGTCCTTGCTCCAATGCAAATAGCCAAGCCTACACATTAAAGAACTCCTTGGGGGAAGTTGGATTATAATGGATTCATCAACTAAGTCTGGGTTAGCAGGTACAGGGGCTGATCTCTAGAGCAAAACTCATTGCTGAGGATCTGACATCCATGCCATACACATTTGTTGTTTTGAGTTTGATTTTTTTTTTTTTTTTTTAATCCCGTTAGGAAAAGTGGGGAAGTCTGGACCACTAGACTAAATGCTCATTAGCAGTTAGAGCAATGTGCTGCTGGGGTGCATTTTTCAACTTACGAAAGGAGTTTGAAAGGAGTCATGTTCAGGTACTCTGAGACTGCTCTGAGATGTGAAACAAAGCACAGTAAGTGGGAATGATCAAGTGATTCACTTTGCAAGCACAGTCCTGGTCTGCAGTAAAATGCTATGTAGTAGCATCCATCATCTCATTTCAGAAGGAGCTGGAATAGAACACACTCAGCCCTTGTCAAAGGACAGAAATGGTTGAAGGCAGTGGGATTGGAATGAGAAGTGACTCAAAATTTTGGAACAAATTCCAGTTTCCTTCATCATTGTCAGTACTAATGGAGATACAGCAGGGGAAGCAATGACAGGAAGGCTAGAGAAGAGGAGAGGTCTGCTCACAACTGATGCATTTGCAGTACTACCACTATCAGTCACCAGATGCAGCAGAAAGCCTGGCTTGGGAATCAGGGAAGAAGTATTTGATCACACCATGCAATACATCACAGAACTCCTGCACTGGAAAGTGGTGCTAGGGGTTTACCTGACAAAATGAACTTAACTCCACTTACAGACTGAGGTCAGAATCACTTATCAAATATTTTCTTTTTCATTTTCCTTTCCGGCTTGTCTGTCATTTAACTGATTTTGACAAAGATCCAGTCTTATCCTGAAGCAAACTGCAATCACAAATGGTTCAGAGATACAAAAGAGAGAGAGAGACTGAAACTAAAAGTAAGTGGGAAGAATTGCTGTTATGGCTGAAATGTTGTCTTCTGAGGAACAAAGGACATTAATCTTACTAGGCTGAGACCCATGCTGCTGCTTACCTACTCTGCCTTGCAGCAATTTTAATAGCCTGCTGGTTGAACCTGCTGAGAAGGTGTAATTAATAAAACTAGCTGGGAAAAAGTACACAAGGAGATTTTTAACCCTTTTTTCTTTTTTTTTTTTTTTTTTTTTTTTTTTTTTTTTTTTTTTTTTTTTTTGCTAAACCTGACTTCTTTTTCACTTTATGCAATCAAAAGTTGAGGATTATTTTTTGTCAAAATACTATGCAACAGAAAATTAGTTTTCTTCATAAAGCTCAACTTTCTTATTTTCTGCCCTACAGTCTCAGCAGAAGCAGAGCTTTGGAGTGACAGGCAGATGCTGGGAAGCATTAGGGCTTAGGGAATACTCTGCACTTTGGCAGCTTTTACACTGTGTTTTGCCTGTTCAGATAATGAGCAGTGGTTGTTGGACATACTATGTGAGGAGAACAACTTTATGTTTATTTACGATATACATTTATCAAAAATTGTGTGTAATATTTGCTGTTGGATAATACTCAACAGTTTATTTAACTGCCAGTGTGTTTATACTCATTGTCCCCATTTCTGTCAGACAGACTGAAAGCAGCATTGCATGAATGCATTTGCTTTGGTTGCATAATTTGCTGGTTTACAT